TCTATATTTTACATTGGGTATATTTTTTTTAACTGCATGATAAAGTCTTTTCACTCCTCCAAAAGAGCCTAAATTTTTCGGCGAGTAATATTCTCTTTCGAAATGTTGCTTGCGGTTAACCATGACAAGTTTATATTTTTCAAGCGATCTACAGCATCAGGGTTCTTAATTAAATGCCTGATGTGCAAATCGCTTTCTTTAATGTGACGGATGACAGCTGCAGTTCCGTTTGGGGCCTTTCCTTTCCAATTTTTAACCGACAAATAATCAACTACCTTTTCGATATCGCTTCCTTTCACTTTTACACCTTGATCAATAATTTTATTATCACTGGCGACAAGATACTTATCTGCTTTTAATGTTAGTAATAGAGACATTGGTCTTTTAGGAGACTTTTCTCGACTATATGTCTGCTTTGATGTACTTGGTATTTTCGTTTCATTATGTGTTTCTTCTTTTTTCTCTCTCTGAAGCCCTTCTATTGCCGAATGATAAGATACCTCAGAATCAGAGCCAACAACAGTTTGATTGTCCTCATCATCATCATCATCATCATCGTCATATCCATCAGATGTAAGATTATCTAATCGCTCTGATATAAAATTTTGTCTCTGATCCTCATTTAATCCTTGCATTGATTGGTAATTCTTTTGCGAGTCAGTTGGGTATTTCATCTGTCCTCTTTTTAATTCTTTCAATATCTGATAACGCTTTTCAATCTTCTCTTTGAATTTATCTTGTATTTTCTTCTTTCTGGCTTCTTTCTTAGCTGCATTTTTCATAAGTAATTGATTCATTAAACGGACCTTAATATCTGTTGGTAGTGCTGAATTCATTATTGGAGTAAAATCTGTAGATGTTTTCTGAGAGGTGATTTTATGTTGATCTTCAGGCACTAAAACCATTCTTGATACCGTATTCATTTTGCTAAGCGATTTGCAACCAGATTTGCTAATATAGAGATTGCAGGCACTAGTAGACCGGGAAGAAGACCACCTTTTTGAATAAGAATTTTTTTAGCTTTGTTGGAAGGAATTTTGCTTGCAATTCGTCGAACCTCTCGTTTATATCTTGAGAGTTTTTGTTTTTGTTTAGGAGTTAAATGGATATGCCCTTTCAATGTATTTTTAGCAATCTCTTTGATGACTTTTATCACCTCACAAGGACATGATTTCAATAGTTTTTGTCTCGATGATTTATGTTTTGCTTTACTCAGTTTACGAAGTAGAGGGAGAACGTTTACTGCTTTAGAAACAGACATTTTACACTTTTATTTTACCTTTTTTCTTATACAATCAAAGCTGATAGGCATACATAATCCCATTTTCTCCTAATACATTACTCAATAATCTAGTTTCTTCAGGCGTCTCAGACTTTAAGTCGATGAACAAATAAGAATATGGTTGGTTTGTAGCATGCTCATAAACATTTCTAAATTTTACGATTTTGTTTGGGAACATTTGACGAGCTAGCATTGTTGAAATCGATTTATCTCTAGGATTCTTAAAGAGAATTATGTAATGAGAGTTAAGAGAAATATTCCTACTTTCATTGCCTTTCATAAAAAAATTCTGCGTGATAAGAATCACTGACAGATTTCTATGGTGACTACCTTTAGTGAATAGCTGAGAAATTGTCTTCGAACATGCAGATTCATTCATCAAATCGTCAATTATAATCAATTGTGGCTCTTTTCCATCAAATTTCTCAATCATTGACTCAGGTAATCCTTTGACAAATTCCACATTCTTCATTTCGGAAAATATTTCTTGATATTCAGCATAGAAATATGTTATGTTTTTCGGTTCTGGTTTAATGAATTTTCCTGGTGAATTCAACAATTTTCTCAGCCAAAATGTTTTACCACAGCCACTAGGTCCAGCAATCATCATTGTGAAAGGATGTTTCAAGTGAACAAGATACATTTTTAATTTGCAATTGATAAAGTTCTTAATTCTTATATAATTTTCTTTTCACTCCTCTAAAATATTGACCAACATATTCAGTGTTTCAAACTAAGGCAGTAGGAAAGCTTAACATAACTTGAAAGTTTTTACTGTTATATCAAGCTTTGATATAGTGGATATTTCTTTGATTTCAAAGACGCGACATTATCAAAAGAAATTCAAAAAAATTTTCATGCAAATTCGTTTTTATTTTTCAGCAAAATTTCAAAATGTTAAATAAAAGGATTTCGATGCTTGTTGTACATAGCTATAACTCTTGAAAGAGCACAAATAAAATTTGGATTGTTAGAATGAAGATGGCAAGGGGGACCAGCTTTACCTTCATCCACTTCCATTCGAGGTATTTGAAGCTCGCGAAGAAAATTGTTAGTCGCCTTGCTCGCGTAGCCAACTAAAAACTTATCTGGAGTCTTGGCCGCCTCATAGAACTGTTTAATGATGGCTTTCAAATCGTCTATCTTGATATCGGCTTCTGATCCAGAAAAATCCAGTCCGTAGACAGCGTTCTCTTCGATACCAACTCCCCATAAATCACCTTCAGGTATATCAGTTTTTGTTAATCCGTGGTTGACGGTTCCATGAAGGGTGGAGTTGGAATTTAAAGCAGCAAATTCGCGGATAAAATAACCATTTTCAAGTTCGAAGCCAATAACCTCGATAAAACAACAAACGCTTTCCAACATTTTTAAGCAGATTGATTTATTTAAAAAGGGAAAATTTAAAATAAGAATGACTTAAAGAAGCTTAAAGATAAAAATTGAAAAGAGAACTGGGGATTAAACACACTTAAAGATGAATATTGAATAAAAGAACTAGGGATAAACACAACTAGAAACACTTTTTTGAATACAAAAACAATCAACTTTTTATATTCGATGAAACAAGTTAAATGCTCTTTTTATAGTCAACTTCACACTAGACAAAGTTTCTAACGAAGAGAGCAAGGGAGCGTAATGTCTGCGGGTTATCTTTTAACATATCCTGTAATGTTTTGGTGAAGGAACCGGAAAGTTTCTCCATGAAAATCTCTTTACTTGCTGATAAGCTTTCAACAGCACCGAAATTATCATGATACTTCTCATAGATCAACTCCCGTTGATTTTCATCAAAATTAACAGGAACAGGTTCTTCCTTTTTGATGATATCGTCTTCCTCTTTCCAATCCTCATGAATCGACTTTTCAGAATTATCTATGAGGTGAGCATAGATAAAAACATCCAAAAGGAGATTAGCTGGATTACGTCCAATCGGGTCTCTAATCAGCTCTAAAACTAAACATGCACCAGTAATAACTTTACTCAATTCAGGAATTACATTTGCATTCAATTTCAGCTTATTGTAACGCTTGACCAGTTGAACATCACCGTTAGGCAATAGACTCATGATCAATTCATCAGCTACATCTTCCTTTTTACCATCTCCATTTCTCATTTCAGCAAAAAAAAGGCCAAGTTGCAGAAGTTCCCATCTTTTTAGGTTCACACCGTTTCTTGTCGGAAAACTGTTGTAGAAAGTACGAATGTCAGCCCCGAGTACAACTTATTCCTTGATCATCGATGCCATAAGAAATTGTAAGCTTATGATCGAGACTGAAAGATACAGCTTTGAGCGAGTACCAAGTTATTGATGGCATGATATCACTTTGATCACACACACAATTTATAAAATGATAATCATTCTCCTCAGTTTTTGCTTTTTATACATTTCTCCAAACAATGATAGAATTTGATAAACACCTCCTTAACATGTTTTCTGTCTTTTACTCCCGTTATAATATATGATCCTTTTGGATAGTAAGTTATACATACTGTACTATCTTTCCAATAAACTGCTGGATATATTTCAGGCTCGTATGAAGCATTTCGATTCGAGCGGACAAATTTAATGACATCAACACTGACATTGATTGTACCTGCACCGGTCATGTTAACTACTTTAACAAACTTCACTTTATCGTTCGGGAAAGTTTTTTTAATGAAAGATTGAACATTTTTTTTTGACGTGAATCCTGTTGCAATGATTTTGCCTGACTCGAATACTAATAGGCTTTTATTGTTTTCTTTAATGACATCTGCATTGAATCTTTTACTCGTCTTGCCAGATTTACCTTCAATTACGGTTTTCCTTCCTAAATCCCATAACGAAACAATATTGACGATCTTAGGAAACTTATAAAGTTTGGAATTCATCTTCATGGTTATACTTCACATGCAAATACGCAAATGAGCTTCAAGAATGAGAAATACACATTTTTAATGAACGGCTGACGTATTTGCTAATTCTAATAGTCATTCTCATTTAATATCTTAGATGAACCAGATTCCTAAGCTTGAAAAGCTTATTAAGTTTCGTATTCGTTAATCTCGCGGATTAAATGATTTCATTTATCTCGCGTTTTCAATGATATTCTTGATTTCGCGAGTTCCCTAAGTTAAAAGTAATGCTTGATTTCGCGAGATCTGCCCGGCCGCATAGGATTGATTAATTGTTTCTATTATTAGGATTATCAGTTAGAAAGCTTTACTTTCTAAAGCTTAATGTTAGCAATTTTCTGATTGATAGTAGTACTACATTCAAAATGATGTTAGTGCTGCGTCAAATGCTGATATTGAATGATAGTTGTGCTGCATTCAAACTGATATTGGTACTACATTCAAAATGATCTTAGTGCTGCGTCAAATGTTGATATTGAGTGATAGTAGTGCTGCATTCAAATTGGTATCAGTACTACATTCAAAATGATGTTAGTGCTGCATCAAATGTTGGTATTGAGTGATAGTAGTGCTGCATTCAAATTGATATCAGTACTACATTCAAAATGATGTTAGTGCTGACTTGGATATGGGAAATGGTCAAGACAGCTACTTCTGGTTGATAGCAGTACTGACTTACTGCCCGGAACTGACCACTGTTTCCGTTTCCTGATATCAGAAGCGTATGGTTCCCTACTACTGTTACGAAATCTCTTCAAATCGAAAACTACTTTTTCAGAACCGATTCAAATTTTTATGAAAAAAGCTTGACCAACTGAGAACTAATTTCTCACTCAGTTATGAACATGATTTATTACCAATGTTTTCATTGAGTCAAGATAGCAGTGTGATTAACTGGATCAAATTCACAAAGAAGCTCCGTGAAAAGGAGTAAAGAAAGTTATTTTGAAATGAACTAATCGGATGAATATGAACGATCAAGCGGAGTGTTGACTCGAATTTCCTGTTTATTCATGAAAATGCCTGCCAATGTTACTCTCTAGTGTCGACATTTTTCTTGCTTCCATCTTCTCTGTCGACCAAATTTCTATTTACCTTTTTCTTCTGTCTCTCAATTTGGTAGACAGAATAAAAGGGAGAACAAAATGTGTCCCTATTTTTGTAACACACGCACATTATTATTATCCTAATTTACTCTCTTCTTCTCTTCTTTTTCTTCTTTCTTCTTCTTCCTCTCTTTTCGAGTGAGACTCAAAGTAACTTGGGATAGTTTACCCTTGATTGAGTTTCTCCATCATCATTATCATCACCATTTGGAACAGTAAAGTTACATGAGTGAGAACAGAGAGAATAGAAGAAAAAAAGGAAAAAATATTTCTTTTTGTTGTTCGTCACAACGAAACCAACGTTGTGCACTTTTCTTCAACTTTTGTGTTTACATTTTTATTTGCCATTTGCTTCTTTCCAATTGAACATCAATGTTTGATCTTGTTTTCATTTTAAACATTTAATCATCAATATCATTATTTACCTTGCAAATGTATTGATACTCATCATCGTTGTTATTTATTTTGTTGAACAATTTACATTCAAAACAAAGGTAAAAGTATTGTTTTGTAGTTGACATCGATTTTTCTGTTCAATTTCGTATGTTTAATCAGTAATGAGCTTTTCATGCCAGAAAAAACGACAAAGGGAAAAAAAGAAATCGAAAAGATTATTCATTTTCTCAACAAGAATTAAAAGTTTCTCATGTCGATGCAAGCTTTTGTAACATGGAATCTTCTATAAATTCATTTTTTTATTCTGATGCGAAAACGATTCCGTCGCAGTATAAATCAATTACTTTAGTTCAGTTTTTGTAGATAAACATTCGAGTGATGAAATGAGGACAAAACCATAATGAAACTGTAAATTGTGTACCAGTGTGAAAGGTATTTAGGTCAAGAAAACATATTCCTCAGTAAAAGCGATGATATTCAAAGTGTGCTCATTTTCATCTAAAATTAGACCCTTTTTCAGTGTCTTGTTTCTAACTTTAGAACTTTTACTCTCAATCAGTCTTCATGAACATCTCTGAATTTTATTTTCTCGTTGCCTGTTTTTCTTCTTTCTCTCTCTTCTTTTTTTTCTTGGCTTTTACTCTATCATTTCATTTTCGTTATAGTTATGAATTGAGTTGGAAGTGAAACAATGAAGTATGAAGAAAGAACCAATCACTTATCAGCAAATCCAGCAAACAATAGATCAACAGTATTTCCCTCAACGAGATAGTCAACCGTCTCAGGCTCAGTCGAGTCCAGCTCCATCAGCCAGTCCTTCATCATCACCTCAACCAACATCAACATCTACAGCCGGAGGAAGGTTTGACTTCGACGACGGTGGAATCTATGTTGGTGGCTGGCAGGATGGAAAAGCACACGGCCATGGAGTATGTACAGGTAAATAGATTTTTCAATGCAAAAGATTTCTTTTCTCCAGTTCTAAAGTTGTCGAGTTTCCAGCGATTCTAATTTTTGTCGATACTTTACTTTCATTTAGGACCCAAAGGCCAAGGTGAATACAGTGGCTCATTTAGTTATGGATTTGAAGTTTGTGGCGTCTATAAGTGGCCAAGTGGAGCCATTTATGAAGGTCAATGGTCTAATGGTAAACGGCATGGATTAGGTGTTGAGTTTCGTGGTAAATGGATTTACAAAGGTGAATGGACTCAGGGTTACAAGGGCCGTTATGGTGTTAGAGGTTCAGCCGTTTCTTGTGCCAAATATGAGGGAACCTGGGCCAATGGGTTACATGATGGTTATGGTTCTGAAACTTATGCCGACAGTGGAACCTATCAAGGACAGTGGCTTCGTGGTATGCGCCATGGTTATGGAGTGCGTCATTCGGCTCCTTATGGCCATTGCAGTGTTACTAAAGACGTTTTAATGAAAAACTCTAACAGCTTGTCGATTCAATCGCTCGACACGGAAAGTGAAACTGAGTCAGTTTATGATCCAGTGAAACGTGATGCAACCATGAGAGGTGGCTTTGTTCTTGTTGCTAAAAGTCAACCAACATCAACCTTGAGACGACGTCATAGTTCATTGGGTGATAAAACGTCACCACCAGCAGCACAAAAGACTGGCTTTTTAAAAGGATTTCGTTTAAAGAAGCAAAAGTCAACAGGTGACATTGATATGCGTTCAGCTAGATCAACTTCATCATCAGTTGCCTCTTCAATTGACTCAGCTTCCTCAGCACCCATTGCAAGTAAACATTTGTACCATTCATCTCGTGATCCAATTGATCCAGACACAGTTTCAAACAACTCGTTCCTCGCCCAAGAAGCAGAAATCTCTGACCCATCAACAACCGAAACTTACATGGGTGAATGGAAGAATGATAAACGCTGTGGATTTGGAATTTGTGAAAGATCGGACGGACTTCGGTATGAAGGTGAATGGTACAATAATAAAAAGTACGGTTATGGAGTAACCTTTTTCCGTGATGGAACCCGTGAAGAGGGAAAATATAAAAACAATTGTTTGGTGACCAACGCCAAGAAGAAGCACCTATTTGTTTTACGTTCCTCTAAACTCAGGGATAGGATAGAGTCGGCTGTTGGTGCAGCTCGTCAAGCTCAACAGATTGCCCTTCAAAAGGCAGACATTGCCATAAGCAGGACAACTACGGCTCGTAGTAAGGCTGATCAATCGGAGCAAGTTGCTGCTCAGTCTCGAACCGATTCCGCTTTAGGTTATAGCATTGCTAAACAATGTGGTGGCTCCGATGCCATTAAAAACCTGCACTCACCTGATGTACCCTTGCGAGGTCGACTCTCCAACTTTTCCTCCATACGTCGAGGTGCCTCTCGACCTCAACGTTTCCATTCGCCTTCACCTTCACCCTCTCAGACAGCTTCTAGTCTAACTGGTTCTAAACAGTATCTAGACGTTAATGAACCTTTCGGTGGTCGTCGAGGTTCCTTCCGTTCTGGATCAAATTCCCAACTCAATGAGAATACAAGAAATTCTTCTTTCACAAGTCAATCCAATCGAACGTTCGATCAAAGTCATCAACAAGAGCAGCAGAACCAATCGAATCGCTTACCTCATTCACTGGCTCCATCAGGGGCCAGCTCAAGCTTACACTCTCAACCAATGCCTTCTCAAAGTAGCCATCAACATGCATTTATTCATCATCAAAACCAACAATACCAAGCCAACAACGACGACTCTTCGGCCGACCATCTAGACCAATATCAAAAACTAGTTTCTCGCTACGGTAAAGTCAGCAAACCTCCGTCTTTCGAACCACCTTCCTTTAGTCGCTTAAACATTAATAGATCACAAAATTTGGGTTCAAGTGATTTGAATAAAATTTATGGAACCAGTTCATCCATTGATTCAGGCCGTGAAACGGACAACTCGAGTGATGCTGGACTTGCACTGCCTACACCAATTGACATGTCGTCCGAGTCAAGTAGCTCAACAAAAACACCCTTAAGAACAGCTTCATTGTATCGACTTCCAGCCTCAAGTGGTGCATCACACGCCAGTAAACCAAATGATTCTGGTGGTTCAGGCGGCACTAAAAGTGGCCCACTCAAAAGGAAACCCTCACTTCAGTCAATCTCATCCAAACCTATTAAAGAACCAGTTATGAGCAGGGAAGAAGTTTCAGTTCTGTCCCATGCAACCCGGGAACAACGTCGTCAAGAAGCGGAAAGAGCCGAAAGATTAACCCACAATCCCTTGCTCTACTTTGTAGATCCACAGTTTAAAGAATGGTTAAGTCGACAGCAGATCATCATTGCAGTTATCCTCATCAATATTACTCTAGCAATTATATTTTTTAAGCTTTTAGGCTGAACAAAGTTTCATCAAGTTTTCTCCACTTTTTTCGATTCTTTCTCTTACAATTTAATTATCGTTGTCGCGGCTGTTTTTCCCCTCAAACTTGATTGACCAGCAAAAGCAAAATTGAGAACCACTTGAATACTCAACCAATTCACCGACAGAAATTTTCGGTTGAAAAGGAAAAGTTGAACAGCTTTATGTAACGATCAAAATGTTGGAGTGAAAATTTCACTCTTTCACTGTAAATAGTTGATTGTTTTACTGATGAAATATGTCTAAACACGAAAATGCAAACTTTTTGTCTTTCACTTTTAAACTGCAAACATTTTTTTCCACTGAAAATTCCACTGAGTAATGATTCATTTTCAAAAATTATCACAAACAATGATTTTCTTTGCCAAATTTTTCCTCATTCAAATCATTGTGCATTTCATTGTTTCTGTTTCAACAATTCATTTTCTTCATGACTTCATTTCGACTAAGCGAGCAAAACAGAAGCTAATTTATCCACAAACATCTCCACTTACATTGAAAACTATTTGCGCACTTTTACACTGAACTTTTTACACTTTTATCATTTAAAGATTGTTTTCATGAAATTTGAGATTGAAAATTCTAAAGAAAAAAAATCACGAAATTAACCTGAAAAGACAATTTTCCCTTTTCGGTTAAAAATACGGAAATTGCGAAAAGCATTTGAAAAGATCGATTAACATAAAAAAGACAAATAAAGCTAGCCAATAAGTTAGTGGTCTAGTCAAAGTAACATGCACTTGAGCCGCAAAATTCAAGAAAAGTTGTGTTCAACCAAAAAATTCATTTTCTGTAATTACTCGATCATCATTCGAATTATAATACAACTCGAATTACTATTGATAGATGGCAGCTTGAAAGGCACAAAGTAACTGAAAAGTTCAGATGTGCATTCAACTTCAAATTGAACTGATATCAAGCCGAGTCAAGCATAAATGGAAAAATTGAAAGCATATTTAATAATTGATTCGCACTTCGTGATTTGACTTTGAAATTTCACGATAAAAGTAAAAGAAATTTTGACATTAACTTTCTTGCCTAAAATGAATAGTTATTGATGCATGATTTGAAGAAAAGTTTCAAAAGATTTTCACAGAATATCTTCGTTTTCTCGAGACAAAATGAACAATCTGTTTCCGTTATTATCCAATACATCAAACCTATGTAAAGGAATAAAACATGATTAAACATGACAAGGTTACTTTGCCAAGGAATGCAAACAGTTCAATTGAACAAGTTGTAACATTGATTGAAACCAAATTCCCAATCTTTTAATCACATTTCAATTCGAATAACGAAAACACGAATAAATTCTGAGAGTAAATACGCGATAAAAGTCAAATTTTTGAGTTGAAACATTGATCGAGTCTGATTGGTTGAAAGGACGACAAGTTCATTAATTTGAGATTCCGGTTGAAATAAGTAACAAAAAATGTTGCCAAAAAAGATGTATTTAAAGGTTGAAAAGCGCAAAAAATGTTCCCAAAATTTTTAAGTAAACTTACAAATTGAATGAAATTGAAATTGAAACCAGAATCATTAAGTTGAATGGAAAAGGAAAAATCAAAAAAGGTTCTTTTCTCATGCATTTCATGAAATGTTTGCCTTTCAATTTTTTCCTTTTCCATGAAATTTAATTTCTCAATTTCATCAGAATCAATCTGGCAAGTTTGTACAGAGAGAAAAAGAAAAGAGGAAAAACATTTCTCTTTACCATGTTCATCATGTAATACAACTGTTTACTCTAATTCATGTAAATGAAGGCAAAATGTTGAGTCGAACTTTTTTTTACCACAAAAAAAAGAAAAGTGAAACCAAAGAGTTTAATGGAGTTTCGAGGTAAACAAAGTAGAGTTTGAACAGAACCATGATATCATTTCAATATGAACCAATTTTTCTTTCAACTTGCAATTGTTTTCTTGGCATCATCACTCTCACACCATGATAATCGAAAGGCGAAACGAGAAGAAAAAAACTTGAAAGTGTAAAGTTCGAGATGGTGCATGATGTAAATTGTGATAAATGTTATTCATGAAAATGATTAATGCAAAAGAATTTGTCCTTGTCAAGAACATAACGATTATCAGTAATGTTCACTGATATCAACAGAATAATGAGTTGAGAAAAAAAGAATTTTTTTTTGTTTTCGTTCGATAACAGTTGCACTGGAAAACAATGTTGCAAGTAAACAATGGCGCTCATCACATGAACAAAGTGAAAAGTTTTGAGAAGAAAAAATAATCTGAAAAAAGTGGAAACAAAAGAGAAGAGCTTAATCCATGAAACATGGGCATTTCCATTTTACTCACTTCCTATTCAGTAATTTCATGATTGGATTGAGTCCAAGTGAATTTGCAAACAATATCATTACAGCAAGTTGATCAAAGTGGCGACGAATTTCAAATGAATTTCCAATGAATTTCGATTTGAAATTTTCCAACGAAAATCTCGACGAAAGTTGGAACACAAATTTCGCTAAGCCGAAGATTTGTCATTGAGAAAAGATCGATAGAGTTTTAGTTTTTACTAGGAAAATCAAGTTTCACCCAAGAGATTAGTTTGACTCGATGAAGCTAAGAATATCATGAATAAGAAAATCAATTTTTTATCCTAAAAAGAAATGATTTATTCGATTGTCAATCAATCAATTTTCAATTTCATTTCATTATCCATTGTTTCAATGGTAAACATGAACGAACCCAACTGACCAGAAATGAGAACCAACTAAAGGGAAAACAATGTTATTGTTATGCATTTTTGCATAACTCATTCCATGAAAATGCCTGCCAATGTTACTCTCTTGTGTCGACATTTTTCTTGCTTCCATCTTCTCTGTCGACCAAATTTCTATTTACCTTTTTCTTCTGTCTCTCAATTTGGTAGACAGAATAAAAGGGAGAACAAAATGTGTCCCTATTTTTGTAACACACGCACATTATTATTATCCTAATTTACTCTCTTCTTCTCTTCTTTTTCTTCTTTCTTCTTCTTCCTCTCTTTTCGAGTGAGACTCGAAGTAACTTGGGATAGTTTACCCTTGATTGAGTTTCTCCATCATCATTATCATCACCATTTGGAACAGTAAAGTTACATGAGTGAGAACAGAGAGAATAGAAGAAAAAAAGGAAAAAATATTTCTTTTTGTTGTTCGTCACAACGAAACCAACGTTGTGCACTTTTCTTCAACTTTTGTGTTTACATTTTTATTTGCCATTTGCTTCTTTCCAATTGAACATCAATGTTTGATCTTGTTTTCATTTTAAACATTTAATCATCAATATCATTATTTACCTTGCAAATGTATTGATACTCATCATCGTTGTTATTTATTTTGTTGAACAATTTTCATTCAAAACAAAAAGTATTCGATAACAATTTGTATTGAGTTTTGTGTGTTTACTTTCAAACTAACCATTCATATCAGAAGGAAAAGCTCAAGATGATGTTTTAATCACTTTGCATAATGCTGTCATACAGATCCACTGTCAATCAAAGTTGATTGATTTATTCGTGTTTTTTGTGTAACTCTCTTTGTCCCAACTGTTTTTTGCTTGATCTTGTGACTACAATTTGCTTCATCATGACCAGTTGGTCTCCTCGTAAAATGGATGCTTGGATTGATGAGAATGAAGAGATGGAACAAGATGATGAATCAAACACTAATGTCTTGGGCAGCTCGTTTAATGAACTATGTTACCCATCACACTCACCGACTAGCATCAATGTTTCCTCATCTCAACGTAAAATATCAACTTCAGAAGCCAAAATTCGTAAATCTTTTAAGCGAAGCATTTCTTTTTCAACGGCAACAAACACTTCATCCATCATTTCACGCCGCGAAACATCCAAACTCTTATCACCTTTGGACACTTCTCGCCGTAAACTACATCTAGAATTGACTGAGTAAGTTAATCTTAGTAACGAAAAAAAACGATAAGACTGAGTAACAATAAGTGTCAATTTCAAAGGTAAAAAGGATCAACTTAGTCATCAAAGTCATTGTCACAAGTTGAAATTGAAAAAGCTTACAACAATAAACTGATGATTAAACCTTTTATCAGCTTTACCAATTAGTTAAACTCTGAGTTAAAGTTAGGTTAGGTTCCGTTATGTTTGATACCAAGTATCAAAAGAGCTTATCTCTAGTTGAACCAATAATAATGCAAATAACCCAATGATAAACATTAAACTTTGAGTCAAACCCATTGAAAGTGACATTAATTTTTACTCAGCCTACCATCAACTTCAATTTGAATTAAACTCTTGGTCAAACCAAATGCTCAACAATCATTATTCATACCTGAAAAAGTAGTTAAATGAACTGACTAAACACCTTTTCACTCAACTAATCAATGAAAAAAGAGTGCAAACTTTTCTTGACTCTTCTTGTCATGCAACCAGCTTGTCTTGAACAACCTTATAATTATATTTTTTTGTCAACTCTAATGATAAATTATCGATTGCAAAGTAAACTCGTGAAAGGGTCGAAAGCAGAGATAAGTAAATACATGGAAATGTTGCCATTGATGAGACAAAATATCATTAAGGAAACATTTCTCGCTCAGATTCTTTTCTTTTTCCTTTGCTTCCCTCCAATCATCAAAATTCATCTCATGATAAATGTACAGAGAGAGAGAGCAAGAAAAAAGTCAATTGCTAGTCAACAGTAAATGCAAATATTGTTTCTTAACTGCTTCTCATTGAAACGCAATCAAACCAAAAGACGATTTATCATTGCAAAAGTCAATCCAAGTCAAACCAACAGAGCATTAGCATTGACCATTAATGCATTTGCCAAATATTTGCTTGTCCAGTTTACGTTTTAACGTCCATTTGCACATTGACAAGTGTTCAATTATCAGGCAACTTTTTTTCCTCTGCAAAACCTTCATCAAGAATAGATTGAAATGAATTTTTCTTTCCAATGACTTTTCTACCGTTTCTGCAATTTCATCGACTCTTTTCACTTCAAAATTTACGTCATCTTTACTCAGCAAATTGAGACCAACTTCATATCTCATGAGCTTTCTCATTTTCTATTCATTTATTCACTTTCAATGTTTCACTTTCAACTAATTATTTTATTTAAATTTTTTTCTGTTCATTTAATTTTCTCTCTTCACATTGACTAGTCTAGTCTAACTCGAGTTCAATTGAACTTTAAATTGCGTGCTCAGTTGTTTTGGGTTAACCTGGTTCTTGACATTGTTTATTTGGTGAAATGAAATTTGATTAATTTGATTAAATAATAATATTTGTCAGGTTAGACTCAATGCGTAAATATTATTACAAGTGAAATGAGGAAAGCA